TATTGCCAGTGAATGTGTGGACTCCAGGTTGAGCAGTGGTGTTCCAGGTGTTGTTTTCAAGCTGGACATTGAGAAGGCGTACGACCATATGAGTTGGAGCTTTCTCATTTATTTGATGGAGAGGATGGGGTTCGGGAACCGGTGGAGGAGATGGATTCTTTTTTGTATCTTTAGTGCTCGCTTTTCTATCCTTGTGAACGGAGCTCTGACGAGGTTTTTCTCTAGTTCGAGGGGCTTGAGACAGGGGGATCCACTGTCACCTTTTCTTTTCCTTTTTGTGATGGAGGCGCTCAGCAGATTGTTAAAAAAGGCTGTTGAGCTTGGCTTTTTGAGAGGTTTTCGGGTGGGTAGAGATGTTGCTAGTCTATTGGAGATCTCTCACTTGATGTTTGCAGATGATACCTTAGTTCTTTGTGATGCTGATGCGTCCCAGCTGAGACATTTGAGATGCGTTTTAGTTTGGTTCCAAGTGGTTTCTGGGCTTAAGGTGAATGTCGGAAAGAGTGTTTTAGTGCAGGTTGGGGAGGTTCCTAATATTGAGATGTTTGCTTAGATCCTTGGATGTCGCACTGGATCTTTCCCCATTTCTTACGTAGGTTTACCTTTGTGAGCCTCTTCAAGATGTGTGGGGACTTGGGATCCGGTGGTGGATAGGTTTGAGAAGAGGCTAGCGGGTTGGAAGAAACAGTACCTCTCCAAGGGGGGAAGGGTCACTCTGATTAAGAACACCCTTTCTTGTCTCCCAACTTATTTCATCTCTCTCTTTCAGATTCCTTTGTCTGTGGCTGAGAGAATTGAGAGTTTGCAGCGTAATTTTCTTTGGGGGGGGGGGGGGGGTTCAAGTATCATCTGGATCGCTGGGAGCAAGTTTGCTGTCCTTTATGGAATGGAGGTCTAGGGATTAGAAGGTTGTTGCCTTTCAATAGGGCCCTTCTTGGGAAATGGCTTTGGAGATTTGGGATGGAGAGGTATTGGCTTTGGAGGAAAGTAATTGCTAGCAAATTTGGGGAGAGCAGTGGAGGGCGGAGCTCCCTTGAGGTGTGTGGTCCTAGGGGGGTGGGGGTTTGGACTTACATCCGAAAGGGGTGGGACGCTTTTAGCAAGTATGATCGTTTTCGGATTAGAGATGGTAGGAGGATCAGATTTTGAGAGGACCTTTGGTGTGGGGAGTTTCCCCTTGCTCTTTCCTTCCCACGGCTCTACAGGATTGCTTCTCATAGGCAGACCCTGGTGGTTGACTGTTATCATCTTGATAACGGAAGACTAACTTGGGATGTGCAGTTTAGGAGGCATTTTCAGGATTGGGAGATTGAGGAAGTCACTCGTTTTTTGGAGTTGCTGTATCGCCAGGTGATTTCTCATGGGGATTCTGATTGTTGGATTTGGAGTCCTAATTCTCAGGGCAGGTTCGAGGTGAGGTCCTTTTTTAGGTGCCTTTCTGTTGGTGATGAAGGTCATTTTCTGTAGAAGTCTATTTGGCGCTCCAAGGCTCCCCGTAAGGTAGCCTTCTTTGCTTGGACCTCAGTCTTGGGTAGGATTTTAACCTAAGATAATTTAAGGAGGAGGAATCAGGTGATTGTCAATCGTTGTTTCTTGTGCCTGCACGAAGAGGAGACTGTTGATCACCTTTTGTTGCATTGCAGCATGGCTAGACTATTGGGATTTGATGATTGGTTTATTGGGGTCCCTTGGGTTATGCCATCTTCTTCTCGAGGGTTGATTGAGGTTTGGAGGGGTGTCCCAGTGGGGGCTCTTATTCAAGATGTTTGGAGGGTTACGCCTCTTTGTATTTGGTGGTGCATTTGGCTCGAGAGGAATAGGAGATATTTCGAGGGAAAGGAGAAGCCTATTTTTGTGCTCAAGTTCTCCATTATTTCCACTCTCTTTTGTTGGGTTTCCGGGAGAGATTATCATTCTATTGATGAGATTGTTAGTTTTTTGGCCTCTTTGAAGGCTTGAGGCTTTTGGTGGCCTTTTGTTTCTTTGGGTTTCACTCCCCTTTGAACGCTTTTTATAAAATCTTACTTATCAAAAAGAAAAAAAAAAAACAGGAAACTAGGAATATTAGGAGCACCCATGCTTCTATCTTTTAAAATGTAATGGGTTCTTACACTTCCTGTTGTTCTCAATAGTGATTTGACCCGAACCATTATCTGATTGTCAACCAAAGTGAAGCCGTTATGCTTAGTTCATCGTTTAAATGCATATCGCTTGTTCAGTATTGTATTGGATATTTCATTGTTGGAGGAGCAAATTGGATCGTGGGATTTCTCTCTCAAACCTACAAAAAAAAAAGCTACCTTTTGAAGCATCTGTGTCAGAAGTTGCACATGTTTGTGAATTACTGGGAGAACTCCTACCCTCATATTTATTATTATCAGAATGTGATGATGATAGTTTTAACATTATCATCCAAGGGCTTCTGAAGGACAATTAGCGGCTATTGGCCCACCATTGCTTCCATCCTCAGAATATGTTGAGTTCTCCGTCCTTCCACTCTGTTCACGGAAATTACAAAAACATTATCACCTTATAAAATGATCGGTTTAAAATCTTGCTTCTCAGTACTTCTCATGTGAGTTGTTTACAGAATTTGAATCTAACTTCTCATTACTGACGTTTTTAAGGTGCTACGAGGATGGAAGGCCTAAAAGGGTAGAAGACGTTTGAAAAAGACATGACTTCCTAATTTTAAATCCTTTAATGCAGAAATTACCATATTGGAACTGTAGTTAGTTATCACCATCTACAAAACCCCACAACTGAATAGACTCTTGAATCAAGTGTTTTGGGAGTTAAAGATCATTTTTGCAGTTTTATGCGCATCTTCTAGAATAATCAAAAGAGAACACACAAAGATTGCTTGATTTCCCATCTGATAGGGCTGCTCATGACTGCTGTTGAACTTCTTACTTTCCATCTGTGATATGCAAGAATGTAACCAACACAGGGTTGAAAGGTTTTTTGTTTCGAAAGTTACACAGGGTTGAAAGGTTTCGTGGATGGTTTCATTGGCATAACAAATGTTCGTATTTCAACTATTACTCTGACCTGGAATTGAGATAGCATTCCTGCACCACAGTCTGGAACTTTGGTGGTGGTTATGGTGTCAGTCCTAATTTATGCGGTTGGACAGATCTTTTCCCTTTTCTTTTCCTTTTCTTTTTCTTATTTGAAATTCACTCTCACTTTGCACCAATGAGAAGTCAACCCCCCGACCTTCTACTTTGGAAGGTGAAGTATCATTAGACTGCGACCCTTGTTGGTTTAGATAATATATGCTTTCATATTAATTAATGATTTCAGGCACTCACTAATGTGGGATTTCCCATGGTATTCAAAATTAACCTTAATGTTTGTATTTCATGAATTAGTTGCAGAGCTGCAAACATCACCACATGGTTCTCTTACATTAATTGCCTCTAATTGTCAGCTTTGCACCATTTTTTTTAGTTATGTTGCCTCGTCTCTAACCTCAGAATCAGGTGCTTGCTACCTATGAATTTGTTTCTTGCACAATCTCGTTGTACCAGTACCAAGTAAGTTTCTTCCTCTCAGTATTCGATCTACCATATTTGGAATGAATTCTTTATCTAATTTTAAACCAACAGAACCTGTCAACAATTGGTATTATAGTTGACATAAGAGGTAATTGTAATGGTAAAGTGGAAGATGTTGCTTAATATTCTGATTTTTGCTTGAATAACTCATTTATGCTAATTGTGCGTCTTACGGCAGGGAACTCCATTTGAGATATTTGTGAGCTTACAGATGTTCCTTACGGTCTGATAGCGAGGACCATCATCAGACTGGATGAGACCTGTCGTGAATTTTGTGCAGGAAGATGGAATCCGCCTCTAACGCGATAAAGTGTGATATTGTGTTTTTTGTACATTACTGGGGTGTAAGTCTTGTCATAGGCGGTAGGCGTTTGCGTGTCTTTCCTTCTCGATGTACAGTGAGGGATTTTGAGGAAGAAAATAGCACTACTTTTGTTGTATGATCAATAGCCTGCTGTTCAGCAAGGTCTCTTGGCTGATCTTTATACTATAAACTTACTGACTATTCACTGGTTCATTTTTTTCTATTGTGACTTCTATACACACTCTGCATTATGAAAATACAAACTGTTACATTATTTGGTCCAAATAAAGGTGTTTTAATAGTCTAGGTAAGGTCCTTAAAACCAAATAATAAATAACAAAAAGTGGATATTGTGTCAAGGTGACTGCGAACAAATTTTCTTTGGACAAAAATCCCTTGAATCTGTCTTATTTTTACATACATTATTAGGGTTATGATTTGGCAACTTAATTAGGTGTTTCTCGATTATTCTAAAAAAACTATAATTTGTATGCAAATATTTACCCGTCGCATCAGCAGCTTATATAAATTTAAAGCATTTGCTTAAAAAATGACCCAGGGGCAACTCGAGAACGATTAAGAATATATTGAAATTTCAATATTATTTATTATGCTTTGATAATTTTGTAATTTTAGACCCTTTCAAGACATGACATAATGGTCAATGGTTTTATACCTAATCTTTTTTTCATCCGAATTCAATGTGGGACAAGTCTTCCTTTGTAACATTTTCCTTCACCCAAACCCGCACAATCCGGACGCCCTTCGGGCCGGTCCCTTGGCGTGACACCGGATCTATGATTGGGTATGGCTTTGATACCAACTGTAAAGGGTGAGCGTTTGCCCATTTATCAAAAAATGAGTAGTGCTGCATACTAACCTATTTATACCCAATTACTTTTCCATTTGAATTCGATACGAGACAAGTCTCCCATAATATGTGGCCTCATCGGTGCCATATCTATAGTTTTAAAACTTCTGTATAATCGTTATTTATTTATTTTTCCTGAAGGTATCAGTCCAACTCCAATACGTATAGTCGTATAATCGTATTGGTGCTTGTGAAAGCAAATAAATTTCCTTTCATTTTCAATATAATCACATTTGTACCCTCATGATTTTGACGCGTGGTCGATCGCTCTGGCCGACTGTAGAACTAAAGTCTTATAGCGGTTACAAATTTGAATTTGGACTGTTCATTTAGTTCGTCCTTAGCCGCTGTGGAATCTGCATTCACTCCCACGTTGTGACCACCTGTCAGTGCACTCTCTCCCTGCACAACACATATATTAGTGTAGTGGGCTTTTTTAGTGTTTGTTGAGCATAAATTAGTGTTTTCTTGTGTTGATTTTCCATCTCGTGTTCTCCGCGTCTGTTCTGGTCCCTGTTTCTTGAGGATCATTTCAGCGAGAGGTTTCAATAGCAATCATGAGTAGCCCTGCCGGATGGAACAGTCGAGTAATGTGAGTTTCAGCCATCTTCGGCATTACTGTTTGTTCTTGGTAATCTGAACATTTGATCTTTCCGTTTCTTGATAATCTGAACAGTTTTTTGGTTTCTTTTTGTAGGTTTGAGCGTTATGTTTTTGATTATTTGAGAAAAAGAGACATGCAGGAAACTGCCGAGATTTTTCGTAGAGAGGCAGATCCAACCATCGATCCTAATACTCCTCCCGGTAATGGCATGATAGATTTATTTCCGGTCGTCGTATCAAAATTTCTTCTTCTTTTGATTCGGTTCTTGTTTAATTGTTTGCTGTATCTTTGATTCAACTTGAGGTTTTCGTTTTCTTTTTCCCCTTTTCTTTACTTCTTTATTGGCATGTAATACTATCGATTAGGGTGCGTTTGGAAACATAGGAGACAAAAGAAAAGAAAGGATAGTATTAGTTAGGTGAGAAAGAGAAAAGAAATGAGTCATTCTTGTTTATATAAGATAGAGGAGAGAAAAAAAAAGAAAAAAAAAGAATAACCAAATTAGTATCCTACCCTTGTATATAACTTAGAACTTAAATGGAATAACAAATCTATACATTTATTTGTGGAGGTGACTTTTGGTATTATCAAAATACCACTAAACCACTATGCTATTGTCTCTTTTCCCTCCATTTAACTCACTCAAACACAATTAAAGATTGGTGTACTTTATTTTTATAGAAATAATTGTGCGTTTCTTACTCTTCCACATGCAAACTGAAATATATATATTTTGGACTAAAAATGGACACCACACACAAGAATGTCTATCTTTGCAGTCGTGTTTTTTTTCCTTATTTTTCTGATCCTTGTCAATTTTTTTTAATCGCTTTTATTTATTTATTTCTACCCACAGACACACTCGGATTTTCACATATATAAATATATAATTACATGTTTTCGTGTGTGTGTCTAAATATATATATATATATATATATAGAGAGAGAGCTCTGTATGTTTATTTCATAATGATTAGTGATGAATATGTTTGTTAACATTTCTTGATGAATATGTTTGTTATCATTTCTTGATTCTTCCGCTTTAGTTATCAGTATGTTTCTTTGAGTATAAAACATGAATAAGCATCAAAACCTCTGTCTTGTGATATTTTGTAGTGTGGTGTTTTTTTATTTTTTTTTATTTTTGGAGTTTCAGCAATAGATGTTCCTGATGGTTTTCTACATGAATGGTGGTTGATATTTTATGATATGTTCAAAGCACGACAACAAAATAATCCTGAGCATAATGGGGGTCCTTCCTACACGGTGATTGTTCAATTAATTTTTTTTGTTTTTTTGGCCACTTCTTATTGCAATTACTGATTCTTTTGTTTGTAGTCACATAATATTATTATTGTTATTGTTATTGTTATGTAAATATCTAATCACAGTATTACCTTAACTTGTTCTATTAATAGGGTGAGCAAATGATGATCATGGCGCAACAAGGTGATCCTTCTCCACCCTGGTTGTTATTTTAAAGGGTAAAGTGCAAAAAAAAAAAAATCCTGTTATATAGAAATGTGCAAGAAACACCCGTCCCCATATTTTGAAAATTGTGATAGTCAACTACAGCCAATTTTTTTTATAAAAACCCCAAAATACCCTTAATAAAATTTGGGCATATAAGTGTTTTTTTTATTTTTTATTTTATTTTGTTTTAAGGACATTTTAGATATTTCAGTCTTCAATTTGAGAAAATGTCCTTATTTGCTCAATTTGAAAAACGTATAGGGTTTTTTTAACACCAGGAGGTTTTCACACCTTTTGTATATAACAGATTTTTTATTCTCTCTTTACCCTATTTGAAATTGTTATTCAGACAAGATGTGTACTGTATACACTGTAGTGTCCTTATCTTATCCATGTCTTGTTTTGTAAGAATTTATCATATTTTATTGTCGCATCTGTATCATGTTATGTCCATATCTTGTATATGAATACGTGCCTCATAGAAAAATTGTCATTATTGTATACACTGGGATATTCTTTAAGATACTATTCCCGTGGGAGACTTGCATTTCTAAATCAATAATGCTTGAATGGTTTGATATTGAATTGCATTCTAGTGTGGGTAGTATTGGTGCAAGTAGCCATATGTTCTATTATTATATTGACCAGCCGTGTTGGAGGCCAAATACATCAAATTTACTTTGAGTAGAAAAGCATCATAATTCAACATATTCTTTGTGATTATCGTTGTAGATACGATAAAACGTGTTTTAGATTCTGCTACAACATGTATGCTAAATCAACATTCTTGTTGGTACGGTGTTAATTTTGCATGCTTTTGTTGCTAACTAGATTTACATGTAGGATTGGAGCCAACCACGAGAATCACTGCTAAAAGCCGGTCAAGAAATAAGATTCCATTAATTGCTGTTTTATTTTTTCTCTAGGCAATATACGGTAATGTTCAGCCTAATAAATTAGCTGGATTACGAATGTTAAACTTGGTAATTCGAATAAATTAGTTATTGGGTCATGACCTATATTTGAAAAATGAAGACGTCGTAGTTAAAATCAAAATGAATATTATTTCCAAAGAAGATACTTTTCAAGAAATAACAGGCAACAAATTTGCACGGAGATGTTTTCCCAGAACAAACAGATAGGAAATCTGACGCATTCTTAAATCTGGGAATATTTTAAGAATACCTAACTCATTCTTTTGAATTTTGTGGTGCTACATTGTGAAGGATAAGAAAATTGTGGTATCCCTTTTTTTTTTCGAAACTTGGACACCCATTTTGCCCTTACGGTGACTTGAACTCTCGACCTTCTACTTACAATGTGTAATGATGATACAATTTTCTTCTCTATTTACTAGAGTATCTTTCTGTAGCTTTTTTTAAGTTATTCAGTACCTTATGTTCACTTGTGCAGGTCTCAATCCAATGCCATCGACAGGGGGGCCTTTAATGGTAAGAAACATAGTAAACAAAAATATTTTTATCTTGTATATGGAACAAATAAGCTAAATTTTAATCTGATCACAATGTGGCCTACCGAGCAAATTTTCTAAAGTTTTTCATCATCGACTTCAATAAAAATTGATATCTAGTCCTCCAGACAAACTTTGTTATATAGTTAATCAAGGGATAGGTTGTTCATTTCATGCACCACTAAAAATGTAACATATTGCACCGAATAATGATGTGACCTTCATTATGTACTAAAATGCTATCATTTTATGTGCATGCACATTAGAGTTGCACACTTATATTGTATAAATTATTTTTCATTTTATGTGAATTTATGTTAGAATTGCAAGCCGATCTTAATTTCCTTTTAGTTTTTTTGGCATTTTAGTCTTCTTATTACATTCTTCTTAAAGCCAAACGATCTTAGTTAATTGTGGAACATGTTCCACTATGAAATTTCTATGTTCATGTTGATAAAAGTATCACAATTGATGTTTATCTTGCATTATTTTAATTATCTTGTTTCCTTTTTCAGTAGATTACTAAGATCGTTTCAAAGATGATGAGCATAACAGTAGCACAATTGTTGGGAATGTCCAACAAATTTTGCATTACATTATAGTTGAATTGACATGAATCAGAGCTGTTTAGGACAGGATCCTGTGTTCTTTGATAGAGTATCATAACCTACATTTTAATGATTTATTCTGCCAACTCGCTTTAAATCATTCCTGACTTTTTCCCCCCATTGCCTTGTTATAGTCTGTTAAGTCATTCATCTTGGTGAAAGCTATAAATTAATACTAAAATTTGCAAATCTAGTGGATTTTTTTTTTTTTTTTTTTAAGGTGGCAATAGTTTTGTAATTTCTGTGAACAGATTGGAAGGAGGGTGAACTCAGCATATTCTGAGGACAAAAGCAATGTTGTGCCAATAGCTGCTGATTGTCCTTCAGAAACCTCGTCATCAATTCCCAAGTCCTTGGATGATATTGTTAAACCATCTTCTTCACATTCTAATGATAATAAAGATGAGGGAAGGCGTTCTTCCAATAATTCACTCACACATAATGCTACTTCTAGCACAAATGCTTCAAAAGGTAATTTTATATAGGTTTGGGAGAGATATTTTAGAGTTATGTGATGCAGCTGTTTTCGTGGTTTTTATAGTATATTGCAAATATAGTAATATTAGCATGAAGCTTACAGAACCTATTCATATGAATCCTTGCTTGAAAAGAAGAAAAAAAGAGACGTTTGTTGGAAAATGTATAACTATGAGAATGTACTAAGCATTATCTATTGTACTACATATTCATTTCTCTTGCGCCACCTTCCTTCAAAACCTTTTCTCAAGTCTCAACTTTGTGATAGATTAAGTTGTTTCCTTCTTTTTAGCGTTACCTTCTTTTTAGCTGCATAGTTTTCTTCCATTTAGTGGGATGAGAAAAACTTTTGTATGTGAATATGCTATTTAACTGAATTTTTTTTTTCAACTTAATGAACATGCCAACTCAATTTGTTCCATAATATGTGATTTATTTTTGATGATTTCAACCTCTTTTTTATTTTTTTTTTCATTTTTTTTAGTAGTCTCTTTAAAGCCTTGTCTTTGTTAAATCTGAGGCAATTGTGTAAAGAGATGTAAATTGAGTTAAGACTATATGCAGAGCGCGCGCGCGCGCACACACACATATATGTACATGAGGCAAAACAAAAAAAAATCCCAAAATATGACCTTTTTGTGTGAAACTTGATATTTGTGTATGTGTGCATATAATATTGTTGAGGCCATTTATAATAGGTCGGATGCTTCGTGATCTGATCCAAAGCTTAAGCTATTTGGTAGGGCTAACACCCAATTGATATATACCCAATCACTCTCCCATCTGGAACCAATATAGGACAAACCTCTAACATTTTCTCCCACTTGAACTCGCAACGCCCTCGTTGCGGTTCGGGCCACCCTGCCTACCGGGGTGGGGGACCTAAATACCTTCGGGCCGGGCGCTTGGTGTGACACCGGATCAAGGACTTGGTCTGGCTCTGATACCAACTATTACGGGTCGGGTGCTTTGCGATCCGACCTTAAAGCTTAAGCTAGGTGGGGCCAACACTCAATCCATATATACCCCAATCACTCTCCAATCTGGATCCAATGTAGGACAAACCTCTAACACCATTCCTCTGCAATGTAGGTGGTTGGATGCAAGATGTTGAACTTGGGGTTAGAGCTTTGATTTTGGGAGGTCTTTCGATTCAAGTCTCTATTTTGATATGTTACCTTTTCTATGTCTGTTTTTTTTTTTTTAAATTCATTCTCCGAGGGAGTTGAGGAGGTCGATTTTTGTGGAGTGTGCGAAAGCTTGATATACATTGTTGGGATATTTCTTAAAAGCTTAAATGCCTTTGGAGCTAGTGGATGTTTACCGAATTTGAAGAATCTTTGAAGCAACATAAATTATATTTTCAAAGGCAAAGTTCAAAAAATTTCTAGAAAATTGGTAAACAAAGTTCAAGTGGATGTGCTTCACTTGTATCTTAAATTTAATGGCGGTCATCTGCAAAATTATTTAGCAGATAAACTATATTATATCTCATAAGTTCTAATTCTCTAATAACTAGGATTATCAATTAACCACCAAAGAGTTAAATTCTGAATAATAATTATTGGAGCAAGTGGATATCTATCGAATTGGAAGAATCTTTGAAGCAGCAGAATTTATATTTTCAAAGGTAAAAGTTCAAAAAATTTCTAGAAAATTGGGAAACAAAGTTCAAGTGGATGTGTTTCACTTGTTTCTTAAATTTAATGGCAGTCATCTGCAAAATTATTTAGTAGAATACTGAATAATAATTATTGATCGTTTTGGATTCACGAGATAGATTGTTTCTGTTGTGCATCAGAATAATCAGTTTAACAGGGACCTATTATGTGATGATTTATTTATTGCACTTGCAAGAACCCAAAACATGACCCTTGCGTAATAGACTTTCAGCCCCATTTTGATGAGTTAATGTGCTGGATAATGATCGTATATGCCACTTGAAATCTCTACTTATTTAATTATTCCATTTAGAGAATACATTTTTGGGGTTTTGGGAACTATCTGTTGAGGTCTATTTATTGAAATTTTGTTCACAGTCGGACCAATTGAGGAATTCCTTAGCAAATGGTAAATTAATTATGGTTCCAGCGCAAGCTAATTATAAATTAACTGATTGTTTGGTTTAAGAGAAGATTTCCTAAATGAGTCTCCATTTTTTCCCCCTCCGCTTCCTTTTTGTAAGGACAATCCATTGCATGTTGATTGTTGATAGCCATTGTTCTTTATATATTATAAATTGCTATCTGTCAGGGCGTGGATGGGAGGTCCATTCTTAGGCTCCAATTTAGTGTGATGAATTTTGGTAAATGTTCCAATGAGAGGCAAGAGTTGGATCATAAACATAACATAACTTTTCGTTTTATATTTTCTGAGGAAAGAAATATGCAAGTGAATTACTCGGAAAGAGAATTAAGTTTAGCCATCTTAGCTTTGGTCACATATATTAATTTTCCATTAGTAATGGAAACAATGAGAAATGAATCTTGTTTTCGAACTAAATACTATGGTCCCGCCATGAATTAATCCATGATACCTCACTTGAAGTGAAAATTTGAGTTCAGTCTCTTTCACATTTGTTTGCCTATGTCTTGTTCATACTAGGCTCATTAATTCTAAATTTGTTAAAGGTTATTCCTTACGGCGAAGTTGGAGTTTTTGTATTGCTTCATTTTAATGTTTCTTTTGGAAGCCACATCCTTTTTCCCCATCTTTTAAAAATCTCCAATATAAAACATGGTAACTTTACTTGAGATGCATCTCTATGTTATACTTCTGTTATTTGATTTTTTTCACCAACCGTGGTCATTATTTCTCTTTTTTATCTCCCATTTAGTCACTTAAAGAGATGTGCTCATTATAATTTATTGTGTCATGTGCCCTTCTTGTCTTTAACTGAGCCTTACAGAACTTGAAATAGTCTCTTTTGGATACGAGTCAAATGCACATTGCTCCGACACACTAGGACAAGTGTTGGTCACACCTTGGATAATTTCATATCTGCTGGACACATGGCGGATAAGTGGACATAGGTTAGACATATCATGCATCAATATGTATACACACACACACATATATGGATATCTAAATTTGGAAGAAAAACATACTTAGTATTTATATATCAAATGCAGTTTTACATTTGGAAGGGGAAAAAAAAGAAGCTATTATCATATGTGGCTTCTCTGGTATTAAGAGGGTTTTGAAGATTTCTAAGGGTTAGAGGTTGAGAAATAGAGCCAGACAAGGTTGATATGATTTAAATATGTATAGTAAGTTTTATATAGGACGAATTCGAGTTGACGGTCTCCATTTTAAGGCTATTTCTGAGTTGGATAGAGATGGGCTTGAGATTCCTTTTACTGAAGACGAAGTTCTAAAGGCTTTATCAAGTTGTATTGGGGACAAAGCTTCGGGGCCTGATGGGTTTACTATGCATTTTCTAATGGAAAGTTGGGCGGTAGTGAGAAACGAGGTGATGGGCACATTTCAGGAGTTTCATTCTACTGGCGTCTTTGAGAAATCACTAAATGCCTCATTCATTGCCCTTATCCCTAAGAAGGGAGGCGCTTTTGACATTAAGGATTTTAGACCAATTAGCTTAGTGGGTTGTATTTACAAACTCATGGCTAAGGTGCTTGCTCTAAGGATGAAGGAAGTAATGGATTGGATTATCTCGGATTCCTAGAATGCTTTTGTCGGAGGACGGCAAATTCTAGATTCAGTTCTTATTGCAGGCGAATGTGTGGATTCCAGATTGTGAAGTGGTGTTCCTGGAGTTTTATGCAAACTTGATATTGAGAAAGCGTATGATCATGTGAATTGGAATTTCCTACTATATTTGTTACAAAGAACGGGGTTTGGAAATAGATGGAGGAAATGGATTGAGACATGTCTTTCGTCTGTCAAGTTCTCAGTTCTTGTGAACGGATCTCCCCCTGGTTTTTTTGGGTGTACTCGGGGTTTAAGACAAGGAGATCCTTTGTCGTCTTTCCTTTTTCTAATTATTATGGAGGGCTTAAACAGACTTATGCGAAGGGCAGAGGATCTTGGTCTTATTAAGGGCTTTAGGGTGGGAAGAGATTTAGTCCATCAGGTGGAGATATCTCATGTACTTTTTGCGGACGATACCTTGGTTTTCTGTGATGGTGATGTGTCTCAACTTAGATATTTGAGGTGCATCCTGGCTTGTTTTCAAGCGGTTTCCAAGCTGAAGGTCAACATGGCTAAGAGCGTGCTTGTCCCGGTAGGGAATGTTCATGATATTTCTTCTTTAGCTGCAGTCCTTGGGTGTAGGGTGAGTTCTTTTCCCATTTCTTATTTGGGTTTGCCATTAGGGGTTTCTTCCAGGAGAATGGGGAGTTGGGATCCTGTGATTGACAGGTATGCAAAGAGATTGGCAGGATGGAAAAAGCAATACTTGTCTAAGGGGGGTAAAGTTACTCTTTTAAAGAGCACTTTATCAAGCCTTCCCACATATTTTTTATCTATGTTCTAAATTCTATGCTCCGTTGCTGATAGGATTGAAAAAATTCAAAGGGATTTCCTTTAGGGCGAAAGGGGAAAAAGAGTTTAAGTATTGCCTTGTCAGATGGGAGCAAGTTTGCAAGCCCATGAAGTTGAGTGGTCTTGGTATTAAAAGATTGGTTCCTTTTAATGAAGCTCTCCTGGGTAAATGGTTGTGGAGATACGAGAGGGAAAGACATCGTCTTTAGTGAAGGCGAGTCTCATGTCGGTTTGGGGAAGAGATTGGTGGCTGGTCTACCCGTCCGGTTTCTCTTGTGGGAGGAGTCAAGGTGTGGAAATCCATTCGGAAGGGATGGGATGTCTTCTCTTCTCATATTAGATTCAAAGTTCATGACGGTAGATGCATTCGTTTCTGGGAAGATCTTTGGTGTGGTGATCAGCCATTATCTCGTACTTTTCCTAGATTATATAGTATTACAGTTGACAGACACGACTATGTAGCTGACTGTAATCGGCTTGATAGTGGTGGG